TTCATTTTTAAAGATCTGATATAGTTTGGCAGTGAATCCTTGAGTGAACAATATGAACCCAAGATTCACTTGAATCTTCAGAAGGCTTTGTATGTAAATATGGTAATCATAGATGCAGTTGATAAGTAAGTTAAGATAAAGTCATCTGGATTAAGATTTGTCTTTAATCTAGTCCTGGTGTCTTCTTAAGAAGAGTTAGAGAGGAGATAGGTCTATACTAAAATGAGAATGCCATATGATGATGAGGTAAAGAGTCAAATGCTACTAGTCATAAAGCCAAAAAACATACCCAGACAAGAAAAGGTCCTGACCTAGATCCCTGAGTGTAGTTCTCATAACATCTTGATTTTGGATTTCTCTCCTCAGAAATGTGAAAGAAATTTTGTGTATTTTCTAAGCTACCCATATGATGGTAGTTGGGAGGGTCTATGAGGCTAACACAAATATATACTAAATTCTAGGAACAGCAGTAGAAACCTAGGTAGACTTGAAACTGGAGGTTTATCATGTAATAGATAACAATGAACTATAAGCACCTAAGTTCCTATTTCTATGAGTTTGAACATTAGGCAAGTTCTTATTTTTATAACATTGTTCAATCCTGATCAGGTCAGCCATTGCTTCAGCAAAATCAAAAGATAGATTTCCTTTATTCCTCCTTGAGTTACCTAGTAAAGGAGGTTTAATATTTATTTGTTTGCTTGTTTGTTGTTTGGTTGGTCATGGGGCTTGAACTCAGAGCTTGGGCACTGTCCTTGAGCTCTTTTGCTCAAGGCTAGCACTCTACTACTTCCAGTTTTCTGATATTTAATTTAAGTTCTTGCCCAAGCTGGCTTTGAAACACAATCCCTAGATCTGAGCTTCCTGAGTAGTTAGGATTACAGACATGAGCCACGAGCAGCCAGCCTAGAAATTATATTCATTGAACCATGACTTACTCATGAGATATCTCATGCTTTGCATCATGAGGGAGTGCCACAAAAACAAAAGGCAAACTGGGTAAAGACATGATGGAGTGAGCCCCAAGGTCAATGTGGTACCCAGAGGCAGGGATGACTGAGTCATAAGGGGAGGAAGGGGTGATGGTTCTCTCTGTAGACACTGCAGGAACCCATAATTACTCCTTAACTCTGTGTTCCAAAGGAATGAAGGGCCTCAGTAGCAGGCTGGGAATTGTTATTCAGGAAGCAGAGTTCAAGTCAATGTATAATGTATGGAACTACCCATTGTGTTGCTCTGATAAAGGACAACTATAATTCTGAGTACCTATCACACAAATGAGAAAACTGAGGCCCTGACATATTAAGTATCATATAGATTCTTTTCACTAGCAGCAAAGAAAAGAAGCCAAGTAACATCATCCTATAGATGGTGGTAGACTTAGGATCTGAAATGTGCCCCACAAGCCCATGTGTTAAAGGATCCATCTCTAGCTATTGGTGTTATTGGGAAGTGTAAGATCTTTGACTTGGGATCTAGAAGGAGTTCCTCAGATCATCAGGAGTATTCTTGAAAGGCATGGTAGTGTAACATAGGCTTAATAATTCCTTTTTTGAGAAACACTGATTACTTACTTGGGTTATAAATTAAACAACTCCAGAATGAATGTTGGAAAAGAGCAGAGAGAGGGCATCTGGGCCTGGGCTAGGCCTTATCTAGGGTATGAGCAGAGAAAGGTGTGGCCACCTCAAATTCAGATGTGACCTCAGCGCATGCAGATGTGACCTCTTCCAGGTATCCTAGTTGCCTAGGTAACACAGGTACTGGGTGGAGACTTTGCTGGGAGGAGGGTGGAGTCTGCTCGCCATCCAGGAGTGGACCTTACATTCCAGCCTTTTAATAATCATGAAATAGGGTGCGGATTCTCTCTGGCTACTTCCTGCTGTCAAGGGGCGTCGACAATAGGGGTAAAAGGCTGGAATTTGGTCCCCTCCCAGAGAAGGAAGCGAGCAGCAGCTGTCCCTTGGTGGCATTAATCCTTAGATGAAGTCTGGAGAAGTCTCTTGAGGCATTGAGGGGCTGGAAAAAAAATACTAGAGAGCAAATAAATGGCAAGAGGAAGAACTTGGGGCTAAAAATGTTGGTAGAAATGTCCCTAGCTACTTTTGACATCTAGTGACTAGGTAGAGGAGAAGTCAGTGACAAAGGCAAGAATATAAATTCTTGTTGTTAATAGAAACAGGTATAGACATTGGATGGGCAGGCTTCTTACTTCTACTGACCTCCTGACTCTGGTTAATTTTGAAAGGGCAGGCACAAAGTAGCTGATGTGACATCATTTCCTCTTACTCCTCTCCATGTTCCCTTGTTCCCCAGACTGGCTGAGTCTAGGTGATCGTTGCTGGGATGGCTTGTCCCAGTTGGTATTCAAGGAGGTTTGAACTCAAGGCCTGGGCATTATCCCTGAGCACTTTTGCTGAAGGCTAATGCTCTACCACGTTGAGTTACAGTACCACTTCCAGTGTTTGGTTGGTTAGAGATAAGAATCTTGAACCATGCTTCCAGCCTGGCTCTTTGCAGGTTAGTTGGGAGATGGAGTCTTAAGGATTTTTCAGCTTAGGCTGGCTTTGAACTGCAATCTTTGCCATAAAAGCCCTTTATTATTTCCAATTAAAGCAACAAGGAGATCAAATAGAATAGAGCTTACCTGTTTCTTATCAAGAATTGACCAACAAATATTCTGCAATGACAAAACTTGTTAGATGTGATGAGAATTTTAGCACAGATATGCCCAGTATTTTAGAACCACATAGTCAGTGGTAGAATACACAACACAAAAAAAAGGCAAAACTCAAAACCTAAAATTTGGACAACAATGTTTAGAAATTTTTGCTAACAAAGCACATCAGATGGTTGAGCCTCAGTTGCCAGGGCCTGTGAAAAGAACAACATGTTATCAAGGTATCTTAGAATAGATGGATGGAGTTGTAAGCTTGGTGGAAGGTTAAGGGTACATGGGGCCAAACCCTTAACCCACCATGTGGCCAAGATAGCGAATTTCTGAAAAAATGCAAAGAAATCCTGAACAAATAGATCAAGCCTACATTGGTTAGCCTTTGAGAGGAAACCTAGAGGGGAGTCCATGGGACCCAGCCTGTGCCACACTCTTCAGGGCACAAGCCAAAATGTAGAAAAGAGAAAGGGAGAGATAGGGAAAGTTGGACATAAATGGCAGAGAGAGAGCAAAGAGAACCTGAAAGTAAACAGACTTCTGACCATTTACCATTGCAGTGGCAAAAACTGTACATCTGAGAATGGCATAAAAATTAGGTGCTCTGGATTTCCAGGGAGCGCAGGAGGCATTTCAAAGGGGTTTCACGGCTCAGGCGTGACTTGCAGCACCCCATTAAAAGTGGAGGAGAGTCAGTCTGGTGAGTGAGGGAGAGCTGACCAGGCGTCCCGACTTCCCCCTCTAGAGAGAAATGGCCAAGCCCCCAAAACCAAGCATCCTCGTCTTCAGAGGTGACCGGCCTTTCAACTAAAGGCCGGAGGAGCTCTCTGGTGTGGCGCCACATCTGGACAGAGACTGAGCAACAGAGAACCATAGAGAGTAGTTTCACTCACCAAAGTAGAGAAGTGGTATGGATATGGATGTGAAGGCCAGCAATGGTAACGATGCGCTGTGTCTGCAGCAGACAGATCAGTCTGCAAAAGGCCATCAGAATGGTGGGTATTCCTCAGAACAAAAAGGGAAGAACAAACAAAAAAAGAAAAAAGAGGAAATAAACCAGAGAGGAATCTCACCTTTCCTGACTTTAGCCCTTTATCCAAGTCACGGCACCATTTATGTTAGGTTTTTAAAAAGAGGTAGCAGAGTAAGAACAGCACCACGCACGTGGTATTCAGGTAAGGGGTAGGTTTATTCATTGTTCTGGCTGGCACCAGGCCATGTTGGCCCTCCATGCAGCGGCAAAAGGCCTGGGAAAGAGAGCTGGGAAAGCTGGGAAAGAGAGGTGCTTTGGAAAGAGAGAGCTGGGAAAGAGGGAGAGCGTGCTGGGAAAGAGAGAGAGAGCTGGAAAGAGGTGGGAAAGAGGTGGGAAAGAGAGAGCTGGGAAAGAGAGAGAGAAAGAGAGAGAGCTGCGAAAGAGCTGAGAAGGAAAGAGCTGAGAAAGAGTGTCTGGGCCTGGGCGAGGCCTTATCTGGGGTATGGGCAGAGAAAGGTGTGGCCACATTAAATTCAGATGTGACCTCTTCCAGGTGTCCCAGTTGCCTAGGTAACACAGGTACTGGGTGGAGACTTTGCTGGGAGGAGGGTGGAGTCTGCTTGCCATCGAGAAGCGGACCTTACATTTTGCTCCTTGGACATGAAGATGTGACTTTGCTACACTACCACCTCATCATGATGCACTGTCCCGTGCCACATCCAAAAGCACTGGGGCCAGCCACTTTGGCCTGAAGCCTACCAAACAGGGAGCCAGGCGTGGCCCTTCATCTCTGTGAATTGATTGTTTCAGGTGTGTGTTCCCATACGGGGAGAAGAATGGAATATGGAAGAAAGGTAGTGCCTTTACTGCATGACCCCAGCTTAACCCTCTCATAATGCAGGGTGACTGGGGCTACTTTCCTTAGTGCAAGACAGCACTGAACTTCATACCAACAACTGAGTCCTACAAAGAGCCTGCATTCCCTAAGAAGGTGTAAAAGGAGCATTGCAAGAAAGTCACTTAACTAGAATAATCATAGTCTGACAATATCAACCAAATGAATGCTTATTGAATAAAAATGGTGAGACTTATTTATCCCTAAATAAGTCAGCAATATTTTATTATTTTTAATTCATTTTATTGTGAAGGTGATGCAAAGAGGGGTTGTAGTTATATAAGTTAGGTAATAAGTACCTTTTTTTCTGAACAGTGTTATCTTCTCCCTCATTTTTCTCCCACTCTTTCCCCTCCTGACCCCCTGACCCTTCAAGTGTAAAGGTTATTTCCAACATAGTTTCTAGTGAGTATCACTGTTGAATTGGTTTACCCTTTGTCCCACCATTTCTGTCATTCCCTAAAAATATGGGACACTTCACAAATTTTCATGTCATCCTTATTCAGGGCCATGATAATCTTCTGTATCATGACAATTTTAGTAGTGTGCTGAAGTGAGCACAGCAATATTTTAATGTTCATTAAAACTGGACATTAAACTACCAACATTTATTTCATTAGGCTGCAATAATGCTTCTGGGCATTGTAAACCCCCAGGGGTGCAGTGCCTTGGGAGTGTGGCTCCTTAGGACTCAGCCCAGACATGGGCTTCATGCTTTAACACCAAGTTGTTCTAAATAAACCATCTCATTCATGAAATGTAATTTGCTGGTGTATTTTTTTCTTGGATTCCAATCCAAAAGTTGATGGAAAATGTAAAATATATCTTGTTAAACCAATTCAAGTATTAATGCAAGGATAATCATTTATTGTCAAAATCATTCCACAGTCAACATTAGCTGCCAAAACAGCTCTCTCTGTGTCAAAGATAAAGAAAATTATTCTAGGTTTCATAAGTTTAGGAATAAACAAATGGTAATTATCTTTTAAAATACATTGATTTGCCTCTTGAGAGATTTAAGAAAAGGTATGAGTCAAGCAGCACAAAGTGCAGGTCCCAGTCTGTGCACTGAGTTCTCTTCTAACCTCTGCTCTAGAATTGCCCCTCTGTAATATCCTTTAGGGTTCCTGACCTCTGAGAGTGTAGGGAGGAATAGCAGGGCTTTCAGTGAAATGGATTAATATAAGAAACACTTGCTGGTGCCTGTTAGGAGCTCACCGCCCACACAATCATGAACAAGAGCTGTGAGTTCTCTTTCCTGTGAAGCCTCACTCCAATAAAGAACAAAAACAAGTAGGGAATTACTTGATGGTGTGATTGGAAGTGGGAATAGGTGCTGTGAGGGAAGAAAATAAAGTTAGAAAACAACACCTGAGCAGTCAGGAGGGGTCTCCTTGGAAGGTTTGAGAAGAGAGTGGATGACAAGGGAAGTCTGTATGATGGTACTGGGAAGCCTGAGACAGAAAATACAACAGATGCCATGGCCCTGCAGGGAGGGGTGCAGGAGGGGTAGGGGGTACAGTGCTCAGGGCAGGAGAGAAAGGCCTATGTGAACAGAGTTGTGAGGGATTGGATTGTGGGAAAAACAGGCTATGATGACAGACTATAATTTTTAAATGTAACAGAAGCTCACGAGAAACACAGAACAAAGTCAGTGAAGTGGCTTCCAGATGTCTGGTCTCAGTGGGCCACAGCAAGACATGCCAGAAGGAGAAGCCCGGTCTGCAGTTACAGCCTCTAAGACCCACTCAGGGTTTGGGCATTAAGATGAGTGTAGGTGAGGAAATGCTTTTTCTAGGCTTTGGCCTGAGGACTTGGGCACCACTGATTCCACCAACAAGGAGATGTGACTCAGAGAAGTCACCCTTATCTTCCTATTTGGCAGTGATGGCTAAGCACAAGATGCACCCAGCTTAATGTGGGACCAGAGGAAGATATTAAGAGCTGGGAAAGTGGCCCATTTCCCCAGGAAGTTCCACACAAGGTGACCATCTCACACAGTAGGATAAGGTACGCCAAGCTGGGTTTGTGAAGACAAACTCCTGCCTGACACACAGGAAGCTGGATGGTGGCAGGTAGCTCGTCCTGAGGTACTGCCTGTGGTGGCTGCAGGGACTGGGGTGGAGATGAGGACCACACAGTCCGCAGTGCTCACCGTGGCCTTCCCCACACACCACTTCACTTTTGGTACTCAGCTACCCACAGACAGTCGAGGTCCAGGGATGTTTTGCTTTTGTTTTTTGCTTGTTTTTGAGAAACAAAATTTGAATTCATGATCTTCTGCCTCCTGAACATGCACCACCATAGCAAGCTAAGGTCACAAATGTTAAATAGAAAAATTCCATAAGAGTCGGAGGAAGATGGCAGAGGAGAAGCTGGAGGCTAACCAAGCTCTCACCTAGAAAGCAGTTTTAGTGCTAGCCCAGAGAATCACACCAAGTGTGCCATCACAGTACAGAGAGTTTGGCCAGAGAGGGAAAATCCAGGCAAGGAGACAGATCTGAGCACTTGCTGGTAGCCGCAGCTGCGGCGGCTGCGGCAGCAGCGGTGGCAACCATAGCTGCCATACCTACAACAGAGAGAGTCCGAGACAAAGGTGCCAGATGCAGCAGGTGAGTGAATTCTACTCAACACAAGCAAGAACTGACAAGGAGCAGATATCTTCATCCTACAGATCGCAGGCCAGAGACAACCCAGGAACCAAGACTCCGTTATGAGTAGAACCCTGACATCCTCACTCCTTCTCAGGGAGCAGAGGAGGGAAGGCCACACCTCCCCCATCACCACTGGAGATCTCCATCTTTGATACTGACAAAGGCCTGGCTGAGCAGCTAGCTACAACTCAGGCCTTGGAAGAAAACCAGAACCATTTAGCAGGTCACAGGAACCTGACCTGATCTGCCAGGCTCAGTTCCACCCAAGGGAAAGTCACCCAGCCCTGGCAAAGGAAGCTCTGCCCCCAGAGGAGTGGCTTTCTTCACTGGGTAAACAGAGCCAGAGGCTGCCCCTCCCTACAGCAGCCTAGACAATCAATTGAAACTCAATAAATATAAACCCTGAGAATGGATCCAGGTGGGGCTCTGTGAGTGTCTCACAAGCTAGCCCCTCAGGGAAAAGCTACTGTTTGCTGAAAGGCCTCAACTCTACCCAGAATCGAGCCTCATCACAGCATCTCCAAACTAGAAGAAACAGCCATCTCCTTCTTTTGTGATATTCAAAGCAGATCTCCCTCCCACTGAACTAGCCTGGAAGGAGGATCACAAAATCCTGGGTAACGCAGAGCATTTTTCTGTCTGCTCGAACAAACTGACTTAAGAAACCAATCAAGCCACAGGAAAACCAAACACCACAAGCAGACCAGAGACTCCACCAAGAGACTGATTATGGACACAGGGGAGATACAGGATCTTCCCATTCCAACCCTCCCTCCCGCCAAAAAAAATCAAAGAACTCTTTTTTGTACCATTTTTTAATTTTATTTTTTTAAATTGTTTTCTATTAATCTTTTTTTTCTTTTTTCTCTTTTTTCCTCTCATAATTTTTATTTTAGGTGTGTGTGTGTGTGTGTGTGTGTGTGTGTGTGTGTGTGTGTGTGTGCCTTTTTAAAAATCTCTTTTGACCTTTTGGTCCTTTTTTTGTATTCTTTTTTAATTCTTTTCATTTTTTTCTCTTTCTTTTTTGCGTGACTTAATTGCTGTTCTGCTCATCCCCAGATATATACCCGTCATCGATTATTAGATTTTATCCCCCATTGTGTACATACTTAATCCAGAAATTTATTACTCAATTCACAACCTCTTAGGCTTAACTTTTTAATAGCAGTATTATATATTTATACCTATATAATTTTCAAGTAACTAATTTTAAGAATTTTTATGTTTTAGTTTTTCATGTTTCCTTTCTATCCCTCCACTCCTCACATCCTATCCTTCTTCTCTCAATAACACTTCTTTAAACTTATATAATTTTTAAGTGTTTCACTTTTGAATTTTAATTTTTGTTTTTCCATTTTTTATTTTTTATTGTGAAAATACTGTACAGAGGGGTTACAATTACATGGGCAAGATAGTGAGTACATTTCTTATCAAGCATTCTAGTCTCCTCCTTTGTTTACCTTTCCCATCCCTTCCCAGCCTCCCCCCCGCCGCCCCCACCCAATCCTCCCTCCCCCACCAAAGTTGTAAAGTTCATTTTTTCTTTTTTTTAATCTCTCTTATCATTCTGCCCAATCCATTTCCCTCTCTGAGATTAAGACTTGGTTAAATTCACTCTCCTTTTATCTCTCTGCATCCCTCTAATCCTATTTTCCCCACATTTCTCCCTAAACCTAATAATTTCTGACTTGCCAAATTCTTCTTTGCTGTTCTTAGCCCATTAATCCATAGTTGTTTGATGTTGAATAGATTGTATCTGTTGAACTAGATTTTATCTGCAGCCATTTTGGCTGTGCAACTACAGGACTTTGGTTGACGCTTGTCTTAAAATAGTGTTCTAGCACAAAATTGGTGTTACTTTCATACCAAATGGGCAGAACAAGCTGGAAAAACACAAGAAAAATGGCAAGTCTGGATATCTCAACTCCAACTCATAATAATCAGGATAATCCAGAGGAGAGTTCCAAAAAAGCTCTACAAACACTATTGGTAAACATGGTGAATGAAAAGATTGAAAACCTGCAAAGGACTCAGTGTGAGCGTGATAGGCAGAGAGAGGAGGAAAACCAAAGATTAATACGTGAGGAAGCTACTCAAAGATTGATACAGGACTTGCATGAGCAGGTTGAGAACAGTCAAAGAGAAATAAAGGAATTGCATGAGCAGGCTGAGAACACTCAAAGAGAAAGACAGGAATGGCGTGAGCAGGCTGAGAACTACAGGAATTGTGTGAGCTTGAGGAACTGTGAGAGTGGGATGAGACTAGACAAAGATCAATAGAGGCATTCATGCAATCCATAAACAGAAAGCTGAAAGAATTCAGGGAGAACACAAATGGAATGCTGAATGGAACCCAACAGAAGGAATGGGAGTCCAAGGAAACCATAACCAATCAACTAAGTGATCTGAGAATAAACACTGAATACCAAATTAAGGAAGTAGAGAAGTTCATGCAAGATCTAAAACAAAGCTCCCACAAAGCCATCAAAGCCAACCAAGTAGAAGGAAAAGAAATAAATAAAGTAGAAAGTCTTGACAGTAGGTTAGACCATGCAGATCGATCTCGGGGATTGAAGGCAGCCTAGATATTATAGAGAAAGAACATACAGCTATCCAAGACAAATCCAAGAAATATGATAGATCTATTCAACATTTGGAAGACACCATCAGAAGACTCAATCTGAGGATAATGGGTGTAGAGGACCACCTAGAGACAGAAGTTAATGGTCTAGGAAATGTATTTAATAGGATCCTACCAGAGAACTTCCCAAGCATGCAAAAAGATAGGCCTATTCAGTTACAGGAAGCTATTAGAACCCCAAATAGACCAGACTAGAACAGGAGATCCCACCATCACATTCTAATCAGCACAGGATCAATTCAGGCCAAGAAAAAGATCCTTAAAGCTGTC